AGAGTTGCAACGAAAGTGCAAGTAGAAAAAAGTAGGAAGTTAGGGGACAAGAAGCGCTAAAGAGAATAAGAGCGTGAGGGACTGGCACTGGAGTCGTTTGAAAATACGTTCCCTTTGGCTCTGATCAGTTTTTTTTTTGGGAATGTCCCTCGTAGATCTTCCAAGAATTTCCAGGTCCTATCAACTGGCTTAGGACAAGAAGCTTTTTTTAGCAAAATCGTTGAAAGACTCTGGAACTAGACAATAGGGATTCAGGTCGAGAGAGAAAAAAGTGAGAAACGACGTTTGAAGAGGTTGCGAAGTGTTGAGTGATCGCAACTGAGACATTTTTCCCAATTCCCGAAGCCACTTTTTAGACCCACATCATTTTTATCGAACTTGTTTTTCAAAACTTTCCGTCGTGAGAATCCATAGGTTGTTTTGCATATGTAGAGGTAAATTTCAGGGGAAAAAACCTACCTTAATAACCTGAAGGGATGCTATATTCATGCTCAGACCACTTGTTACAATTCTAAACAGGTTTTCAAGGATTTTTGAGGAGAAAAAATCCACTCAAATCCTACCGTATCCGTTCCCTATTGCCTAGGGTTTATTCACTTTTTTTGAATTTCCGAGATTCAGCAACATATGAAATGTATGGAAATCATAAGTAAGCAGTGAGTAAGAGGGGTTCCTTCAAAAAGATTGAAAAGTTGCAAATAAAAATGAACTGAATTTCGCTGAGATTTTAGCGAGTCCTAGGAATGCGCCATGCCACTTACTATAACAAGGAATCATAGATAGTTATCTAAGTATGCAGGCGATCTGTAAAATAACTACGGGGTGCCATTCAATGATTGTGACCGGCCAGACTGAGTTCGTTAGAGCGAAGGACCTCCGGCATAATTCATCGTACCGAATGAATAGCTCAGTTTGGAAGAGATATAATTTTTCTATTAGCAACTTGAATTGCTCAGGTGACCGTAATCGGATCATGGGACGGTGAACGAGTTCAGCAACAGGTGCGAAAACAGGAAACAACAATGGTCAGGCTTAGTTTTTTCTTGAAATCGTTTTGGGATTTAATCGCTATTTATTCAGGCCTCAATCAACCCACTGAGTATGGTGTTTCATTTCAATCATGGCTTGATCAATATCGATTTGGTGGGTTCTCTTTAAACACAAAAGAATGAAGAACACAAAAGAAAACAAAAGAATGTATA